CTATTTGAGATTCAAATTCATGCATACATCAAGGGGGAGCTCTTCATAAATTTTGGGGTTCAAAAGCTTTAAATTCTTTCATTCTTATAAAAGCCTAAAGTGGTTGTCATCAATTACCAAAAAGGGGGAGATTGAAAGTGCATTTGCCCCCTGTGGGTTTTGGTGTATTGATGACATCCAGATTATGGACTAATGTGATCTTAATGAGATATGTCGTAGCTATTAGTCCCATGAAAGATTCAAAGAGTTGATAAAGATGAAATGGTATCCCTCAATTCTTGAAGTTGAAAAGATGGACGAACTCAAAATGCTCTCCAAAGGTTTTAATTTTGATTTTGAGTTTAGGATCCGCCGTACTATAAAGAGGGATACAAAATTATTTGGTCTGAGGAAGATAGAGTGCTCAAGCATATTAATTAAATAAAAATTGGGACAGTCTAGCACTTCACGAGCACATAGAATTATTTTCTGTAACTTTCGGTGTCGGAAGTCCCGACGTAAGTCGGAACTCCCGACGATCGGAAGTCCCGACTTAAGCCAGGAGTCCCGGCACCTGTGCTTCTGACTGGCTCGCTGTCTGTGCACGTCGGAAGTCCCGATGTTCGCCGAGAGTTCCGACCGTCGGAAGTCCCGACGTTCGCCGGGAGTTTCGACACTGACCTGACCCCTGCCGGGAGTCCCGGCAACTGCAGTGCTGGCTGTTTGGTTTACGTGCGACCGTCGGAAGTCCCAACGTTTGCCAGGAGTTCCGACACTGACTTGCACGCGCTGACTTCCGACTCTTTGTGTACAGTGTTTTCTATTATAGTCGGAAGTCCCGAGATCTGTGTCGGAACTTCCGACGTAGATCTGAACGGTTGGATTTTCACTTGGAGTATAAATACTCCTCTCTTCACTTCTAACCGTTACGGACTCATTTCATAGTTGACTCACTTCGTGCTGAACAGCTCCCAAGCAACCAAAGCACCCCTCTCCTTCCCCCTTTGCTCGAATCTTCGATTCCCTTAGGGTTTGAGTGAAAGGAGAGTGGATTTAGTAAGAGCATCACGTTGGAAAGCTTGAGCACTTGATTTCTTCATCAAGCCGGCTGATTTTGCGTCTATTACTCTTGGGGCTTTGCCCCTAGCCGGCTAGGCGTTGCCCTAGAGCTTCCATCTTGTGGAAGATCCTTGGGAAGTTTGTATCACCCTTTGATTTCTTAGTGGAAAGCTCAAGTGACCTTTGTGGTCGCTTTGAGAGAGGCAAGGAGGTGGAAAAGACTCCGACCTTGGTGGTCACCTCAACAACGAGTACGTAGGAGCTCCTTAGTGGGGTTGCCGAACCTCAGGATAAATCCTTGTGTCCCGTGTGCTTGTTGTTGTGATTGCTAGAGATTATTTGTATATGTTTGTCTCTTTCCCTCCCAAACTTGCATTTTAGGGTTTGGACTCGATCCACGGTTTGGAGGTATTACGGCATCAAGGAGTGACCTAACATCTTCACCAAACCACTAGGAAGTGAGGTTGTAAGTTTATTTATCCGCAAAGTTAAATTTGGCACTGCTTTTGTAGTTCACGTAGGCGTCGGAACTGCTGACGTTTGCGCCGGAACTTCTGACAACGTTGGAAGTTTCGACCCAAACGTCGGGACTTCCGACTGTGACTGACAGAATTAAACTTAGCATTTGCAGTAAATTTTTAGATACGCCTATTCACCCCCCTCTAGGCATTGTTAGATCCTTTCAATCCTGCATCATGGCATGTAGTCCATCATGCTAAGCAAATCATCATCTATTACTGTAGTGCACGAGAGTGAGAAGGTTCGTGTTGATCAAGTTTTGGACAAGGTCCATCCATCAGTGGTGTTGGTGCCAAAGTCTAACTTCTAAATCTATCTATGGAATATAACCTTCTTTGCAACGCAGGCAAGCCTCGGAGCATAAACCCTTCTCTAGCTCTTACAAAACTTTACTACACTTTAAGTCTAGTGAGATGTGCATTAAGTAATTAGGAGTTGATCGAATACCGTTGCTGCATGATTACCTTGATTCAGGTACGATGGAAGTCGAATGATAGTTTCATCATTCACGGGAAATAGGTTTTACCTTGCTCTTCTCGGCTCGGCCTTTGGGTCGTGAAAATACCATGACATTTTGGTAAGTGTTCTTGGCAGACAGGTTCACCTGGTTGTGCTCGTCCCGCCTGTGTCGATTAAGGACCGTCCGTTGTAGGCTTGTATGTGTTAGAGACTTTGTAGTACTAGCCACATACTCCGTTAAACCTAATACATTGGCTATTTCATTATGTGAAAAGATAACTGCGCACTGGGAGTGGGAGATGAGTAGCATGTACCCATCCTGTGAATCCGTCTGGGACAGCACGGGGAGGTGGAGTACTGTAATCTCGGATAGCGCAGACCGGTTCATGTTTTGGAGGATCCTTGGGAAGGGTTAATATATGTAGGTCCAGGACCTACATGTCGTGTGGTAAGGAAACCTAGCTGGGCCAAATCAATTCGAACCGCCGCTGCTTCTCGAAGAAGAAGACTCGATCCTCTGCCCTGCATCGTAGTTAATCAATAGAATATGGTTACTTATGGATAAAAGATGAACTTGAGATGAGGTGATTAAAGAAATGATTGATTTAGATCAAGTGCAAACTGGATACTACTAATGACTTAATACAAAGCTAAAACATTGAAAGTAAGGATCCACTTATAGTAAGCTTTTCTGCAAAAGTCTTTCTTGCTTGAAACTTTCCTTAAAGCCTGCATACCCTTGAAGTCTTTTCTTTTAGTCGGGTAAGACTTGTTGAGTACCCTTAACTATTCAGGGTTTGTTAACCCCTGTTGCAGGATCTGACTTGTGCTGCTAATCGAGATCATGTCGGTGGGCTCGACATGATTTGACGTTCTCTCCTACCTTAGGTGCTTCACCCAAGTTGTTTCTGTAGTTCTCCTCACCTTTTGAAATTTAAGTTAAGTTTTACTTAATTATGTTTTGTAAACTAATGTTATAAGTCTTCCGCACTCCGATGTAAAATATTTTTGTACCAAATGTTGTAATGTTGTGGTAACTCCATGTTGATCCTGTATGATTTGTAAAATATGAATAATTCGGGGTTCCCCGAGGACACCCGACAGACTGCCGGAGTTATCTGGCCCTCGTGTGCAGCAGTCAGAGGTCTTTAAGACAATGACGGGCATATGTGGGCCATATAATTTGGGTGGTTCTGCCACAGCCTACCGCCCACCCCTGCCCTCATCGTCGGAGCCGACGCCAGCGTCCTCCTCGTCACCTCCCCCTAGGCTGGAGACCGCGAGGGCGTCGCGGTCGTACCGTACTTCGCGCTCACATCGAGGCTCCACACACCCTAGTGTCCCCAGCGGAAGAAGCTCACGGCAGCCAAGCCCGTGGTGCTCTTTGCTCCACCACCTCCCAGCCCCAGATCTGCCCATCGAGGTGGTTATCGAGTTCCTCAACGCGCCTGACATGGTGGCCGCCTCCCACTAGAGTATCGCGCCTGACATGTTGCAAGAGTATGTTTCAAGTGTTTCAGATGTTCTAGAGGTATATTGCAAGTGTTTCATATGGATGTTGCAAAAGTAGCGGGATATTGCATATGTTGCAAAGTGTTCTAGAGGCATGTTGTATGTTGTTCAGAGATATGTTGTAAGTATTTATTCAAAATGTTTCAACTATTTCAAAGATGTGTTACAAGCGTTTTTTATCTGATTACGTATGTTTCACGCATACTCCCTCCGTTCCTGTTTACCGGTCCGAGGAGCCTAAATGGCAATGGTAACAAATTAATTGCTTCCTCGCGCCTGTTGCCTTGTCCTTTCATTGGCTCTCTCCGTACGTGCTTTCTATTTTATTGGCCACCGCCCATTCTGCATGTATGCATGCATTCACTTGCTACATTAATCACACCTCAAAGTACTGAGCGCGCCTGCTAAAACGGTCTAAGCAAAAAAACGCGTGCACGCCTGGTATACTGGAACGGAGGAAGTACGTTGCAACAGTATCTTCGGTGTTTTAGCCTTATATTATAATAAGTATTTTTATGTTGTAAGTTGTAAGTATTTTATCTAGATGCTGCATATATTTCATACACATGTTGTAAATGTATGTTTCAAATATTTCATCTGCTTCAGACGTACGTTGCATTCAAGTGTATCATGTTTTAGAGGTTTATTTAGAGTCATTGGGGCGCGGCCCAGGCACCGTGGGAAGGGGCGTGCGGCGCGCCTGGAGTCCTGCGGACGGGGCGTGCTCGTACTCGTCTCGGCTCCCGGGTCCTGCTTGAGCAGAGAGAGAGGAGGGGGTTAGGAGGAAAGAGCGGTGGGCATGGGGCGGGGCGAGGCGGACGAGAGCGGAGTACGCGTGCGGGGTGGAACGAGGCAGACGGAGAAGGACTACAATGATACAATGGGAGTGTGGCGTGTTTCTGCTAGGCCTTTCGGTAACGTCCGACGAAATCCTATCCCATCAGATGTCTACGTGCCAGCAATTCCCGAATCACAATTTATGGTCCTGATCGTTTCTCTTATAATTCATCTTTTTCAGCTTGTTTTTTTCAGCCGAAACAGTGTTTTTCTCTCCCAACAAATTAGCTGGAATTTCGGTTCGTTGGCATACAAATTTTACGTTCCTCTTTATGGTCCTGACTAAGGTGCTTTTTTAATTCTATGATTTAAATTATTTTGATCCTATTTAGAGGCGCATACGATCCGATTTTTAACAACACTGCGACAGCACACAGCAGCAGATTGGACCAGCCGGCCAGGTGGCCCGTGGAGCCGCGGAAGAGGGAAGGCCACGTCGCGGGCCATCCGAGCCCAGGCACGTCCGCACTTCCTAGCCGTTTACTTTTGTCTCACCAAATCCACGATGCGATGCGAGTGGCAGCGCGCGACTTCCCGTTCCTCCTCGCTCCTCGGCTTCTCGCCCCGGCAGCCGGCACCGGCACCTCCCACTCGGCCACGCCCATCGCAGTCCAAAATCCTCGGCCCCACACCCGATGCCTCCCCTTGTTCTCCGCCTGTTCGCCGCAGCTCCGCCCCGCGCTCGCGGTGGCCGCGCCGGGGCGCGTCGGGGCGATGGCGGGCGCACGCGCCTGCGCCTGCGCGTCAGAGCAGCGGCTGGGGAGGCCGCGCCGCCGCCTTCCAGAACCCAGGTGAGCCGCGCGCGCTGCTGCAGTCCCCCGTTCACCGCGCCCTACGGTCTACTGTTTGTGCGTGGCATTGTTTCTGAAACGCGGCGTGGTTGTCCAGACTTATGCGTTCAAATTGGAGGCCATGGTATGAGAGACTCCTGCAATTATGATTCCATTTTTCGCTGTACCAGACGACGCATCCTATGGGGCTATAGTGCATAAGTTCTTAATCTTACCGAACTGAGAGGACTGAACGGTAGAGCTACAATTATACAGCAGGTGTGGTACAGTATTACATATAAGTAGATAAGAACAAAAACGTCACTCGAATTGGTGGAAAAATGGCCAGGTCAAAGTTAAATACATCAATTTTGTGGCTATTGTGACATGCTAATTTACGGAGTATTGGTGGACGCAAATTCAGCATTAACATAATGATTTTTTTTTTGGCTATTTGATCCAGCATCCTGTATTTCACTATTTCCAGGGCACTGTGACCACAGCAGATTCCACGTAGTTATCTTACAACTGATCGTGCTTTAGTTTTTGTTTGCTTCCTCTTTTGATTTTATTTTATGATGAATTAACATCACTAAGTCATGTAGATGATAATGGAGAAGATCTCTGCTGGTGAAGAAGTTGGGGGTGCTGGAGGGGCTTACTCATATAATGCATTGAAAAGATTGGATCAAATATGGTCTAGTATTTGTGAAGCTCAAGCAGGTATGCGTCAGATGGTCAAACACTACATATTCAGTTTATCTGGATTTGCTGCTTCTGATCTTGTTGCTACTAAGATCAGAAGAAAAGCCCTTCTCAACCACACCAAAGTCTCATACTTGGATACTATAATTTGAAATGAGTTTTGTTGGCCTCCCTGCTTTTTACAGACACAATGCCCACAGGAAAGTATAATTTGGCTCATCAGGATTGCTGTCCCAAATTCTAACACATGAAAGTTAGTTTGCTCAATAGGAAACTTTTACAGGCTTTACCGAAAACCACTTCTTCGTAGAAATTTTGTCCACACAAGCATGAGACTAACGTACTATACATATGCTGTTTGTCTGATGAATCACTAGAGGATGGGCACGATTGGTAGTGTTCGTATTCAGCACTTAGCTTCTGAAATTCTGAGACTGTATGACTTTCCAGTGTACCAAAGAACTTGCAACTTTAGTTGATGGATAAGTTTAAATAGTTTTAGCTGAAAGCTTGAATCTCCCTTTAATTACATTCTAATTGAAATGCATGCATGCAGATTCCAAAGTCCCTGAAGTTGTTACTCGGGTTGAAGGGCTGCTGGCTGATTCTAATCTTGGTTCTGGTTCAGAGATATTTGATGTAATTGTATGTGGTGGCACATTAGGTATATTTGTAGCTACTGCTCTCAGTTCTAAAGGCCTTCGGGTTGGAATTATCGAAAGAAACATAATCAAAGGGGTAATTCAACCCTATATGGCTATTCCTGAGTTATCTGAAGAACATTTTACTCAACCATGAAACATATACCTATATCTGCTAAACAGAGGGAACAGGAGTGGAATATTTCAAGAAAGGAGCTTATGGAAATTGTCGAGATTGGCATCCTTTCAGAAGAAGACCTTGAACAAATAATTTCAAGCAATTTCAATCCTGTAAGGTCTTTCAGATCACAAATTGACGTCAATTATGGAACATCTTATTATCGTTAAATCATGCCTTGCTATCTAACCGGTTCACTTATTTCTTTTAATTTTTAATCTGCAGAATAGATGTGGATTTGAAGATAAAGGTGAAATTTGGGTGGAGAACATTCTTAATCTTGGTGTTTCGTAAGTTTTCTACTGACGCCGCATATAGATTAGTTTTCGTTAGTTGGTATGGTGACAGTAGCAAGATCTGGAAAAAATGCACGCTGCCTGTGTTATTTTGACGTTTATGAAATATGCAAGATGATAGGACATAAATATGGTGGAATTAACATTTACTTTGTACATATGGAATACTCCCTCTGTTTCAAATTATAGTTCACTTTAACTTTGTTCCAAATCAAATTTCTCTAATTTTGACCAAGTTTATAGAAAAATGCATCAATATCAACAACATCAAATTAATTTTATTAAATTCTCCATGAAATAAGTGTTCATAGTGCATTTATCTGAACTTGAAGATGTAAATATATTCTTCTCAAAATTGGTCAAAGTTAGAAAAGTTTGATTTAGGAGAAAGCTAAAGTGAACTACAGTTTGGAACAGAGGGAGTAGTACAGAAAAATGTAAAAGTATGTAGTGTCTAAAGAGACAAAAATTACAAAAAGAGTAATCTGTATCTCATTATTGTTATATAGAGGCTTTCATGCAAGGTCAATTCCTTGTCTTTCTTTAATAAGTCAATAGATATCTAAAACATCTTTATGGAGGAACTAGGAATATAATTTAATTCTATTTCATGATGAAAAGTCATCTTAGCAAAAGAGAGCTTGGTATATGGTAGTTAGGGCGTACCCAGTGCAGAGAGCTCCCGCTCTGTGCGGGGTCTAGGAAAGGGTGTAAGTGGCAAGCCTTACCCTCGCCCGTGCAATGTGAGGAGACCGCGACTCGAACCCGGGACCTTCCGGTCACAGGCGGGAAGACTCTACCACTTGCACCAGGCCCGCCCTTCAGCTTGGTATATGGTAGTATGGTAATAATATTAATAGCGATGCCTACCTATAGTATAGTGTCCTATGTATATCTTGCAGCAAGAAAGATCGCTTAACATAAATAAAACAATAATTTAGCTCATATATCTGTTTATGTTTCATTTACCTTTTCAGGCCTGCTAAACTTGTTGAGAACATGAAAGAACGCTTTGTTTCTTCAGGAGGAGCAATATTTGAGGGGAAAAGTCTATCAAGCATTTATGTCTATGATGATCTCGCTGTAAGCAAAATTATATTTTGTCCCCCTGGCCATAGTAAAACTGTCTCGATGGACTGTGGAGACTGCTAAATTCTGTTAGTCTTTTTCCATAAGAATTTACAAATAAATAGATTGTCTTGCATTGTCTTCATATCTGATTGTGGAAATATAATTCTGTGCTTGATTGATATAATAAGCACATAGTCCCTTCGTCCCATAAAGTGTGTCATTATAGCATTCAAATTTTGTCCCACAAAGAATGTCACTATAGGCAAACATGTGTATCCCACCTAGGTACTTTTTAGGCCAACCCACAAAGAAAGGCTCCATAGGCTAACGCTTTGTAGGGGTAAACTCTCTTTGTGGGATGGATGGAGTATGTTGTTAAAGAAATCATTCTAATTATTAGGTATATTTTTTCCATTTTTTTTTCAAAATCTATTTATTAAGAGGTTAGATCAGTAAATATTGTTTGTGTCGTTTTGGCATTAGATATTGCATATTTCCAAACAAGGAGAACATTCCATGTTATTTTTTCAGGTATTGAAACTGAGTGATGGTGATTCCTTGTCTTGCCGACTTGTTGTTGATGCTATGGGCAATTTTTCTCCAATAGTACGGCAGGTATTCAAAGTCACATCATAACTTAGCCATATTTGACTGTTCGAAACTCTTCTTTCCTAACGTAATTGAAGAGCAGAGCTCCTGCCATTTGCGTTCCAAAAAAAAAAAACTTAGCCATATTACAGAAGGCAATCTGCAGATACCTGATAATGTAGGGTGCTAAATGGTAGTAGTTGATAATTTACTGTGGCAGTTACTGGTCTTTATAACTCCAACTTGTTGAAATTAGAAATCTGTTGGTAGTGGCAACTGGTAACCACACCTCTCAAAACTGCTTTAGTTTTATGGTATGGTCCCCTGTCACCATAGTTGTCCACATGAGGCTCACGACATAAAATCTTCCACTTAGTATAGTAATGGTAGTTTCCAAATGTTATATTCCAGTTATACAAGTTAGCATATGCTGATGCCTATAAGGTTTTGTTGTCACCCTAATTCATTCTTGTGCCATGCTCTTTGATTTCATTGATGCACCCTGAATAGTTGCTGAGCTTGAACAGTATGATAAGTTCAGTAGTATACCAGGAGTGGTTAAGCATATTTGGGCTGCCATGTGCCATCCTTTGCAAACCAAGTTCCGTGCTTACAGTACAGAAGTAGCTTTGGAGCAAAGTTTTTATTGATTACAGCTCTGTACATCAAAGATAAAAATTGGAAATGGAACTTTGTTTTTGTTACTTAATTACAAGAGAAGATTTGCACAAGCACAAATCAGAAATATCATTTCCAAAGTGTTTCAAGCTTCCATAGGAAAATCGAAAATAGTGAGATTCATTTCATCTAAGTTTTGGGATCATTGAACAGTATGCCTAAATCTGATTTGCTTCTATTAGTAGTATATCCATCTTGCAGCCATTTCCTGATTCCATCTACAAGTTAGTTACGACTCTTCTGTCCTTGTGCAAGATCCGGTCTGGTAGAAAACCAGATGGAATGTGCCTTGTTGTCGGTGCTTGCGCTCATGGATTTGAAAAAAATACAACAAGTGATATTATTTTCAGTAGCTCAACAGTAAAAAGAGCTGGGAATTCAGGAGTACAGCTCTTTTGGGAGGTAATTGTTTCCATTTCACTCAGAACTTATAACACAAAGATATCTGAACTTGAGCATGTTCTTCATATTATTGTGCTTTGCCTCTATAACATACAGCATAAATCATGATTTCTTTAAAAAACAGAAGTGCTTCTATCACAGCTGATACCTATTCTGTGTTATTCTCAGTCACCACCTGTTTTGCAACATTAGCTATCCTGTGAACTCGTAAAAAAAAGCTAATTTTATGAAGTTCTAAAACTTAATCACATGGGATTCAATATCCTTTTGATATTAATATTACTTTTCTTCTTTGATCTGAGCATTTCTTGTAGGCCTTTCCTGCTGGTTCTGGTCCCAATGACCGTACTACATACATGTTCACCTATGTTGATCCAAAATTTGGAGGCCCAAAGCTAGAAGAACTTTTGGAAGTGTTTTGGGATCTTATGCCTGCTTACCAGGTCAATGGTGTTCTTGGTGTTATACATATGTAAACATTTTAAAATTAACATGTTTGTTTTATCAAATCAACAATATTTGTATAAGTAACTTGGTTTATGTCCATACTTAGATAGGTATGTAGAACTGAATATAATTTCTAAAATTTTTTAAATACTCAAATAGGCGTGAGTCGATCAAGGAAGATGGTTTTTCTAACAGCATAAGTGCTGGTATAATTACTAAGTAATGGAATACATCATGCCATTGTGTATATTCATTTCGCACCATATATTAAAAAAAAGGGCAGACCCAGTGCCGGAGGCTCCCACATGAGTGGGGTCACCATATATCCATGATTAAAAATGTGCATAGCAAAAGTTTGTTGCATTATTAGTCATACAATATCTGGTACATGGATAAAAAGCACAACATATGAGGCCAGGGGCTTGTGTTCTACTTATGTTGATCATTCTGCCTTCCTTTTTTCTTAGGTGTCAAATATGATGTTGTTAAGAATTCTTCTTGTTTCTTATTCTGATAGTTCTCCACAACAATGGGCCCTGTTGGCTTTGATTTTACAACAAAAGTCTGATGTGTCCATGGAAGTCCCCTTATCTATTTTATAGGTTAGTGTCATTTTGTGATTGCTTAGTTGCATATGCTCTAATGATAGCATATGTAAGCTGGAAACCATCGAATTGATCAATTAAAATTTTGAAAACGTTGGCATGAATTTGATATATATTATGGTCGTCTTCATTTACATACTAATGTTATCATATTTATTTATTTATTGTTTTCTTTGTAGGATGTGGTTCTTGAAAATTTGGATATAAGGAGAGTTATATTTGGAATTTTCCCAACTTATCGGGATAGGTAAAGCCTACTCCCTCCGTCCACAAAAGAATGCAATTCTCGCTTTTCGAGAAGTCAAGCAGTTTGAACTTTGACTAAATTTATATAAAAAAATACTAGCATTCATGATACAAAATAAGTATCATTGAATTCGTTATATTATAGGATATATTTCATAATAAATTTATTTGGAGACATAAACATTAATACTATTTACTATAAACTTGGTCAAACTTGAACTAATTTGACCGGCACGAATCCCATAGTTGCATTCTTTTCTGGACGGAGGGAGTACATCCTTCCCCTTTTCTCATGCCAATCCATGTTAAATTGTTTCTACATCATGGTTGTTCTAAATGTGTGAGAAATATTATACAAAGAAAACAGCCATTTTGTGTTACAATGGAATATTTGAATGCAGACACTCTTATTTATTCCTCAAAAATGCAGAGACCCTTTACAGATGTTAATTTGATACCTGAGAGCAGTGTATTTTGTGTATACATCTCTAGTATATAAACATGCAAGGGATAAGACCCAACATGTAGCTTTTGCTGACTATTATCTGCAAGGCATCTGCAGAGTTATGTAGTTTGCCTGTCTTTGAGTTCTGATTATACTGTAATTGGTACTTATTTTCTATCATTTCAGCCCCTTGCCAGCTGCATTTGACCGCATCTTACAGGCATGTGATTTCTCTTAACAGAAGCCTTATTGCTCCTGCACCTGCAACTATACTTAATCACTGATGCCCTTGCACTTCAGGTTGGTGATGCTAGTGGAATACAGTCACCTGTTTCTTTTGGAGGTTTTGGAAGCTTGACGAGACATCTTGGTCGTTTGTCTAGTGGTTTGTCTGTTGAAATTTCCTTGTCTTAATATATAACTGTTGAATATGTTTGATCTAATATTAAAGAAACAGAGTTTAGAAATGCGCACTAGAGTAAAACACATAATAATATACTTATGTAGGAAATTATCACAAACCTAACCTTTTGGAATCCATTTCATGAAACTACACAAACTTGACCCATATGTTAAGATGCTAGTAGTTCGGATGTTAAGCTGCAGTATCACTTTATTGATGATGAATTTTGGATACCTTTACTTGTGCTGTTTTTTTATCATTTGGTTTCACACACACACTTCATTTTTTTTCTTTTGGGGTTAAGGTATATGTGAAGCAGTTGAAGGAGACTTCCTGGATGCTCATAGTTTGCAGCTGCTCAACCCTTACATGGTTAGTGTACTCCATAGCCCTTTCTATACAATTTGAAGTGGAAGCTTATTTGGTTTTGGTATTGCAGCCAAACTTAAGTGCATCATGGTTGTTCCAACGAGCAATGTCAGTAAGGCCACATGTCAATGTTTCACCAACCTTTATCAATGAGCTTCTCTTTGCTAATTTTCAGTCAATGCAGGTAACTTGAGGTACTTAAAAGTACACAATTGCATCAATAATTTTATTCATCTTATGAATTTTGCTTTCCTTCAATGTCAGAAACTAGGGGATTCAGTCCTTCAGCCATTTCTACAGGTTGCTACTTGGACATTGTACTAAAACCGAGGAATGCTACGTTGTTATTTCCATAAAGAAATACTTGTCTTCCACTTATGAAACTGTGCATTTGTAGGATGTAATACAGTTTGGACCTCTTGTGAAAACTTTGGGGCTAGTAATGCTCACTCGACCACAAATTTTGCCTTCCATATTTAAGCAGGTAGACTTTTGAAAAAACATCATTTTCTCATGAGGCTGAAGTCTGTTAGTAATTTATTCTGTTTTCTCCTTAGGTTGGACTGGGAGTCATCCTTGAGTGGTCAGGCCATTTTATGATGCTTGGTTACTACACATTCCTTTCTACCTTTATTGATCCGGTCCTGAGGTACAACTGTTGTCACCTGTCCCTAATATCAAAATTCCCACTTGTGCCATCTAAGAGTCTGACGTGCTTGCTATTTTCATAACATTTTGAAGGTCTTGGGTGGAATCCTTGCCCCCAAGGGACAAATATCAGTGGAAACGGTACCTGGAAGCTTGGAGATATGGAGCCGGTTTAGATTACCGCCAAGGGGAATAAACTGTTTCACTCAAAATACATGAGGTTTCCTCAGAAACAAAATTATGTATAGATACATGAATATAGCATTCTGTCAGGGGAAAGATAAATAGAGCACAGATAGGATCTCTGATTGATTAGTTTTCCTTTTTCAGAGCACACAATACTGAACATCGAGTTTAGAATATGTATCCTCTAGTTTCACTTGTAATTTGTCCACTTCACTGAACTGCTGGAGTGAACATGTATAGTATAATCTACATAATTAATTTCAAATAATGCTGATTAACTTCACCATCAGATAATCACTAATGTGAATAACAAGTGCCAGAAAGTTGTGAAATGATCTATTTAGAGCCAGTTAGAGAAAGATGTTAGTGCAGCAATAAACAGAAGTTGCTTATTCTTTGTCTCGGACAATATACATTATCAGGTCCATAGGATGATAGGACCACTTTTGAGTTGTAAGATTCATCAATATGCGGTTATGCACAGATGGATGGAGCTATGATTTGCTGTTGCACCAAACATCATTTGGATTCAAAATTGATTGCTTCAAGCCTACAACAGAGTATGCTATTCCTGAATGACAAGCAGCATATTCGTATTTAGAAGAAGAAAAAAAACAATTTCTTCCATGATACATTTCAAACGGATGGCTCCTGTATGGAGTGCCAAAAAACTTCTCTATGTCAAATCCTATCATACTATCAACAACTCTTGCTACCTTTTAACACACTCAATCTCGATAGTCAGATCTTGAACCCCAGCTTCTTGAAATATCCGTGAAGCTTTATTTCTTATGGAAGACTTGTCAGCTTCTGCTGATACATGTAGGTGAAAAGTGCCTACAATGTCAGTATTAGTTAAGTTCCATACATGAACATTGTTGACTCCAAGGACACCATCAATTTTCATAACATCATCCAATGCTACAGCCAAATCCTTTTCATGACTCCTCGGGACTCTCTGCAACAGAATTTCAGCAGAATTCCTTAACAAAGGAAGAACAGAAGATACAATCATTACTGAAATGAATACTGAGCATATGGGATCGGCTATAAGCCATCCCTTGTACTTGATCAGTAAGGTTGATATTACAACACCAACGCTTCCCATTGTGTCAGCTAGGACATGCAAGAAGATTCCTTCCATGTTGTGATCAATGTGATGCCGGTGTCCTGACTTATTACTGTTTCCAGAATCTGATGGTCTCAATCCTGCTTTTGAAGAGTGACCTTCTGTGTCATGAGAAGATATATTGCTAAGAGGAATGTCAAGAAGCTGTTGCTCAATACTAATACTGTTGCAATTTTGATGAGCATGATCTCTGCTCTCATGGCAATGGTCCGAATGTTCATGGTGATGATGCTCATGGCCATGGCTATGGCTATGCTTCTCCTTGCAGGTGTTATCCATGATATTGTTATGAATGCCCTCGCTATTACTATTGCCATGGTGATCATGGCGATGGCTGTCATCTCCATGATGATCACAACATGCCTTCACATTATTAGCACCGTGATGATCATGATCATGATGTTTGTGATCTTCAGAGTCATGGTGTTGGTGATGTCCATGGCCATGATGTGAATGAGAATGTGAATGGGAGTGAGAACAGGTACCACCATGAGCATGGTGGTGCTCCTCATGAAAGAACACCAATCCGATTATGTTTACGACAAGTCCACCTATTGAAACTGCCAAAAGACTACTAGTTGATATTTCCCGAGGCTCAAGAATCCTCTCAAATGACTCCAACACAATCAGCGCACCAACAAGAACCAAGAACACTGCATTGACATACCCTGACAGGACCTCAAACCTGCCCCTTCCGAAGTTGTACATGCCATTTGCAGGCAATCTCGCGATGTAGGACGCATAGAGACCAATTGCCAGTGCAGCACAATCAAACAACATATGACAAGCATCAGAGATCAGCCCAAGACTATCACTCATGAACCCACTGCCAAATTCCACAAACATGTAGGCTGTATTGATCAATAGAAACGCAGCAATCTTCCTCGACTTCCGCTCACTCAAGATATGCCTAGCTGGCCCCATGACCGCCTCAAAAACTGACTCCGAGGCATCTTCGGTACCAAGCTGCACATATCCTGCAGGGGCCAGCTCCCTGCTGGCGGTCCACAAGAGGAATCCACAGATCAAGAAGCCCGGTAAAGACAGCTTTGGGTAGTACAGCAGCTCTAGAACAAGAGTGCATAAGAACGTCATTGCAAAATCCACACTCGGCCTACCGCCTCCGCTGCCATGCTCCTGCCGTCGCCCCAAAGCCATGCCAAAGAAGGCAGAGTTAAGCAGCAGCCACCAGAGCGGGCCGAACGGCACTGCTGCGTCAGGAGCGTCGCCCGCATCGCTGCCACCGAAAAAGGAGAGACCCACAAGCGCCGGCACGGAGAGAAAGGCAGCGGCGAGAGCAAATGCCGCTGCGCGAGCGCGCCGAGTGCGTGTGGCATGCCGCGCCGCGGCCGATTGTTCGGCCGAGGAAAGGAAGCCAGAGGCGAAGGGGATCGCGAGGATGACGGAAGCGGAAGGGGAGATGCAGGCAAGGGATAAGGCGGCGACGGCGACGGAGAGGACTCGGCGGCGGGAGGGCCGGCGCAGGGCGCGGGCGAGCAGGGAGCCGGCGGAGTCCGCGAGGACGAGGAGGCCCGGGGAGGGGAGGAAGCGGAGGGCCACGAGCCGGAGGAGGATAGAGAGCGCGAGGAGGAGGGCCGGGCGGAGGAGAGCGGGGATCCCCGGGAACGGGTGGTGAGGCTGGTGGTGGGTCTTCCGGGCCGAGGCGGCGAAGTGGAGGAGGAGGAGCGCGGCGGCCGAGAGCAGCGTGAGGGGCGAGGATAGCGCGAGCGCGTGGGCCAGGGACGGGAGCGCGCGCACGGAGGGCGCGAGGAGGAAGAGCGCGTGCAGCACGAGCAGGCGGAGGAGCGCGGCGGCGTAGGGGGAGGAGGACGGCGAGGCGGCGGAGGAGGAGTAGGGGAGGCCGCGGGATTTCGACGGGGTGGGGAGCGGCGTGGAGGGGAAGCGGAAGGAGGGGTGCGCGGAGAGCCGCGGCGGCACGGCCAGCCGGAGGTGCGGCGCGTGGCGGCCGGACATGGGCGGCGGCGGCGGGCGGATCGGGAACGGAGGGCGGGCGGGGTGCCGGCGGAGGTGGACCGGGGGAGGAGAGGCGTGGAGTGTGGACTCGTCGTCACTGCCTCGCGGTACGGTTAGACGATGGGCTGGGCTCGAAAATCGAGTTGTACCAAGGATAGGCCCAAGAATTGCTCCACATTCTAGTGGGCCATGCCGAATATTTTACAAACAGTCCAGCCATCTAAATTCAAACTACTGGTTCTCAAAAAAAGGTCTAAATTCAAATTACTCGTATTCATCGTTGGTCTTTTGATAAGACTGAATATCAAATGCCGAATATTTTGACTGAATAAATAAATGAAGAACACTTTTGTATCATCAGTCAAAATATTAGGTAAACGGTGCCTGTCCCGTGCCACACATTAGACGACAAAAAACCAGGGCGAAATTTTATTTGCGCAGAAGGCAAAGTCCAGCTCACACACATTGTGCGCATGGAAGCATTTTTTATTAAACACGGTTGTGTTATTCATACACAGTATTTACATCCGGAATACACCGTATTTTGTATCTTCTGGAACCGGCTTGGCGGAAGCAGAGAGGCAGAGGCTGAGAACCCGCCTGGTGTCAGCAGGGTCGATGACCCCGTCGTCCCATAGTCTAGCAGTGGAGTAGTACGGGCTTCCTTCTCTGTCGTAGGCCTCCACGACTTTTGCTTTGAAGGCTTCTTCCTCGTCATTGCTCCACTGTATGCATATGAACAAAAATTAGAATTCAACATGTAAAAGGAATCATTTTGACATTCAAGCCTTCAACGAGTTACGCGGTTTAGTGTTTTCTGAAACAAGGAATTAATGCTAGGTATACCTCCACTCCTTGTCTCTTTTTGTTGTTCTTTTCTATTTGAGCGAGGACACCAGCTGCCTGAAAAGGTTCAAGGGAAGAAACAGTAAGAAGTGTTGATTAATACTGTTTTGCTGTGTTTTGAGCATTCCACAAAAGTGAAAATATAATGCAGGATTCACAGCTTAATTTTCATAAGGTTACATGCAATGCAATTAGAATGCAATTCAGGAAAATATTCAGCAAGATTGTAACAACTTCATATGCACAAAGATGTTAAAGGTCAGAAGAACATGACCTCTGGAAAGAAACAGATACTCCAGGAAAATCCACAACTTTCAGCATCTCGGCACAATCTAAAGAGTTTGCTGCATCACACTTCTTTTGCACCACGGAAGCATGGTTTTCCATATTTTATTTTTCTTTGCAGGCAACAAAAGTTAGCTGGACAGTAGTATTATCTAGTTTTAAATATTAGGATTCTAGCAGTGCTAGTGTTGAAACTCCAAACGAATCTGAGATGGTAGATGTTAATTCACCTTATCCCATTTTTCTTAATACCTATAAACTGATAAGACGTTATCAAAGACTATGATAATGCTGAAAAATAGCAAATGCCGCAATCTTCCATGCATCAAAATATTGGCAATGAAGACAACGATTACATTATGGACATTCTCTACCAGGCAAAGATAAATGGTTACTTGTAAATTAGTAAAGACCGTCTACATGCTGCAATAACAATAACAAGTGTGACGGCTCTTACCTGGATGCCACCCATAACAGATATCCTAGCAGTTGGCCAGAGAAATAAAAAGTTTGGGCTATATGCACGTCCGCACATTCCATAGTTCCCAGCACCAAAACTTCCACCAACAATTATTGTAATTTTAGGAACCTGTGTACACATGCCTTATATATTAGTCAAGTTTCATTGGTGCAATGTTTGTTGTACAAGTCATCAAAGGGTCTAGAAATGCTTTTTATAATTTTAAAAAAAAGGTCTAGACAGGCTTGACCTTAGCACAGGAAACTGCCATGACCATCTTTGCTCCAGCTTTGGCAATTCCACTAGCTTCAGACTTCGACCCGACCTACAGCAGTCAGCAGATAAACCAACAGTGAACATGCTACTGTCCTTCAAAAAGATTAAACATCTCATACAGTCATACTTGATAAGATCACTAATTTGTATGTTAAGTTTTAGCATCCCAACCATACTGTACAAAATCTTGCAGTCTATCATTGTAAACTATGTAATTCTATATCCTGCACTAGTTATAGCCTGGTTCCATGAACATAGTAGAGGCAGTGAGCTCCACATTAATACTACCTTTGCATAATCAATAAGTCTATGCAGATAATAATTTTTATTTGCGCTAAAAAACATGAATACAATAATAAGTCTGTCTACTATGCGATAGTGGGATATGAAATGAAAGAGCTCAAAGAAGTAATTTGAAGAGTAATGGAATACCATACCATGAACCCAGTAATGTTTTGAAGGAAAATCAAAGGAATATGCCGCTGAGCGCACAATTCAATGAAGTGGGAACCCTTTAGCGCTGACTCAGTAAACAAAATGCCATTGTTTCCAATAATTCCAACTGGTTGCCCACATATCCTTGCAAAACCAGTCACTAGTGTCTGCATAAATTTAAAGAAAATTGAGTTGCACAATGCATAAGATGCAGTATGCAAATGATAGTTAAGTTCAACTAAAAAAGAAATCCTTACTGTTCCATACAATTTTTTGAACTCATCAAATTCACTTCCATCAACAATACGGGCTATTACTGAACGAATGTCAAAGGACTGTTTCAAATCAGCTGGTGCAATTGAGCGAAGCTCCTCTACATCGTACAATGGCTCTTGGTAACCACAAGCAGAACTTTGAATATTTGTTCCTTTAGCAGCTAAGTGCAGGTTCTTCACAATGTTTCGCCCCAACGCAAGCCCATGAAGTTCATCTACATCAATTAACATTGTGGGAGTTGTCTAAAATATGAAAGAAGCATCAACTGAAATGTAACTAAAACAGAATAATACAAAAGATGAGCACCTATGGTAAAACAAATATAAGGCTTTAAAGAATGTCAAATATCCAAGAGGGAAGTAATCCAGTCATATGATGCAGTAAGTGTTGTTAAACTTTACCTTGTGCAAAATGATCTGAGACCCCTGATACCTTGCAATGTACTGATGCTCCACCAAGGTCCTCAGCAGATATCTCCTCTCCTGTAGCAGCCTACAAAATTTGGCCCTTTAGACTTTAATTATAAGGCATGATTTAGGCACTGCTCAATATCTCATCTCATCATGTACAAAATAAACAAATGGTTGCCAGAGAATACTGACCTTTACAAGTGGCGGACCTGCTAGAAATATAGTTCCATTTCCCTTAACTATAACACTCTCATCTGCCATTGCAGGAATATAAGCCCCACCAGCAGTGCAAGATCCTAAGACTAATGCAATCTGAGGGATGCCGTCTGAAGACATCTTAGCTTGATTGTAGAATATTCGGCCAAAATTATCACGGTCAGGGAAAACATCAGCCTGCCTGGGGAGATTAGCACCACCGCTGTCAACGAGATAGATGCAAGGCAGTTTACACTCGGAAGCTATTTCCTGTGCTCGCAGATGCTTTTTGACAGTAAGAGGATAGTATGTACCACCCTTAGTGGTTGGGTCATTGGCCACAAACATACATAATCGTCCATGAACAGGTCCTATGCCAGTTATTATACCTGCTGATGGTAACGCTTCATCATAAACATCTGAGCCTGCAAGCTGTACAGTAAGAACTTAACATCAACAGTTGCAGTCTAGAACAAGAAGTACAGCAATGAAAACAATTAGTTTATTCCAGACCATCCTCCTACATACTGACACTTCCAAAAAATGCAGAGGCACTTGGGTCCAGGACACTGGTAGAACTTGGAAGACACTGGGCGTCTCAGTAGCTCATGTCCAATCATCAATCAACTATTACCATGCAGGCCTACTATATCTCCTTTGAAGCTGATACAATGTTCAGGAGGACAGGGTTGTGGTGCCACAATACTACCGTTTGGACTTTGGGTCACAAAATGGGAGATATATCATGGCTCATGGAAGAGCATTGCTATGCTAACCTCGATTGCAATTGCAATTGTTTGCTGAAAAGGAGTGAATGGCAGCCTATAAATACAAACAATCTGCGGAAATTTAAGCCTTTTGCTCTCGGTAATCCCAAATTCCTAGCATTACGGGGTACGGGCTAGACCAATCATACAGAAATTGTGTTCACTTAACAATAATGTGGCCTGATCAACGTAGGGAAAACGAGAGGCCGAGCGCCAGCGGCGAGCGAACCTGCGAGAGCTCGAGGAAGGACGCGCCGGGGTCGAGCAGTCGGTCGATGCGGTCCCGCGGGAGCAGCTTCCCCCGCGCCGCGTTCCGCCTCACCGCCTCGGCGCCTCCGCCGCGCAGCACCTGCACAAGCACAAGGGGGGCACACCACGCTCTCCGTCCTCAATCAGGAGACAGGCACAAAGCAAGCTCGAGGAAGAGAGCGCGACGGCGCGAGGAAGTGAGGGGCAGCACCAGCACCTGGGAGACGCGGGCGCGCAGGTCGGAGAGCAGCCCGCCGACGGCGGCGGCGTTGCGCTGGTAGGCGTCGGAGCCCCTGTCGAGGGTGTCCGGGAGCACGGAGGCGGAGGCGGGCGCCGGCGCGGCCCCGTGGACCGCGGCGGCCGCTGACGAGGAGGAGCGGTACGCGACGGCCGGGGCGCCGCGCGGGGGTAGCAGCAGCTGGCGCCGCGCCGCGGCGAGTCGGCTGAGCATAGTAGACTAGGCTCGTGGGTGGGTTCCCCGGTTTCGTGGGAGTGGGAGTGTTCAGTTTTGGTGGCACTACTGCTGCAGTGCAGTGCAGAGCTGCTGGAGTGTCTTCCCAGAGACCCAGACCCAGAATTCCCCAGTCTCTCCCATCGCCGCGCTGCTGGTGCACGCAAGTCGGGGCGGATAATGATGGTCTGACTAGACGCCGCGCTGTGGCTGATAAGCTTATCATTGCTATCCATGTCGTGTTTGCAGTGGCAGTCTGGCAGAGCATGGGAGCGGAGGCAGAGCACGATGGGAAGCTGGCAACGACGGTGCTGCTGTCGCGGCGTCGACGGGGAGGCATGGACCACGAC